GGTCTTCAAAATGTGGAAATGTCCTGTTTTTCCATTTTGCCTCCTCTTTGTGTCTATTTCATGCCATAAAAATTAATTAGCATGATATCCAATAATAACTACAAATATAGTATGAAAAATAAAATGGGTACCTTCATGTAAGACTCCCAAACTGGTGCTTCGACAATTACACATTGTTTTGAACTATCATAATCAAACCCACTCGTATTTGTCCCATTCACCATGTCATGGACAACTTTCCAGTCCTTTTTCATTGTTGTAATTCTTGACTCAATGTGCGTTTTATCCAATATACCATAATCAGGAACTGATTCTTTTAACACTTGTTCGAGATACTATAAATATCCACATTTGAAGTCGTTATCGCCTTTAAATCCTCCGGTATTAACCATGTTAACCAAAGCCTCCACAAGTTTGGCATCTTCAATAGTTGTCCAATTTCGATAGTTTCTATTACGAATTCGATCCGCCATACCTATTGTTAAACGAATTAAATAATAAATAAGTAACATGTAAAGATAAACATGCAAATAATAAAAATCAATTTGTAGCATTACAAATCATAATGGCATGCAACATAGGTATCAAGTTCATTAAAAACCATAAAGATAAACTTCTAGCATTACAAATCATAAAGGTCAATGCATAGCATTCCAAGCCTCAAACATATGTTGTGCCAATTTATTTCTAAATGCAGTCCACTCAGGAGATGTCCCAATAAACTGACTATCTAAGTCTTGGTCTCCATCGTCTTCGGTTGTTTCGCCCAACCCATCATTCTCAAATGGATCATTTGACATTTCTCGCCTGATATGATTATGAAGTAGACAACGTGCCACTATGATCTTGTTTTTCAGTTCAGCGTGATAGTACGAGTTATCTTAAAAAATTCCCCACCTTGCCTTTAAAATGCCAAAACATCGTTCTATGACATTTCTTGCAAAGGAATGTCTCACATTAAAATTTTCTTTTGGCATGGTTGGTTGGTATCCATCCCGCCAATCATTTAAGTGATATCTTTGACCTTTATATGTGGCGAGGAAACCCTCACTACCAGGTAATAGTATGGGCTCGATACCTTTAACCCATGTGGCTTAAGAAGAGCGTCTCGAAGTATTCTACCATCGGCTACTGATCCCTCCCATCCGTATAACACATAAATAAATTGCATATCTTGTGAACGGACCTCTAACACGTTTGTGGCAATTTCATTCTTTCTTGTTCTATATCGAGCCTTGTCTTCGAGTGGCACTAAGCATCTTATGTATGTTCCATCTAAAGCTCCTAGACAATTCTAAAATCAAGAAAATAAAATTGGTCATTACACACTTGAGTTACTTACATGTGAATACCAAATAAATTAGAAATTTCATATACCTTGGACCACTTCCATCTTCCATTGGTAGAATCCTCTTGAACGGGGTTGGGTTTTTAAGCAAATGTGAATGCAATCTTATCACGAAGCTGCAAACTCGAGTAAATAGTCTACTGATTGTTCCTCCTGAAAGATGAAAACGACATGTGATGACTCAAATTGTTCATCAAAATCCATATGCCTACTTGCTTGTAATCCTCCTAACATTTCCAACAAATCATATAACTTTTTGAAAGACCTTCTATTCATCCTAAGTTGTGTTATGCACATATTGTCACTCTCATAAGCATACCTATGCAATAATGAGGCTCGATCCATATCTGACGAAGAGTATCGGATACGAGGTTTATCCTTTTCGTAGTTGGCCATTAAAGTTTAAATTGTAATGAAAACCCAAGCAATAATGGTCATAGCTTCGTGCAAAAATCTCATAAGCTTGCGTCTACGTGTTGTGAAACTAAATCGGGCCATTTCTTGATCAAAGACATATAAGTGGTTTTATTTCCAATTCTTTGAACTTCTCTTTGGCATTTCAGATGGACTTTTGCTAATACTAACACTAATACATGATGAACCTAACCTAGAATGGGAAAAGAAATAACAACTCTATATTCAAACAGCCTAATGTTTATATGGAGTAATTGAAATTAATGACTGTGTAGGTACTCAGAACAGGGTAAAGGCTAAGATCACCAGCAGTTGATACATCACCATATGTCTATGTGTCTGCATTTACAACCAGATCATTTTGAGATTCAGTGGACAGTCTATCACCATAAACTTGCAGGATGTCCTAATTAATGATGCTCAAGTCGAGGTATTCATTGTAGAACCGCACTACCACTAAGCAAAGCATATGGTTCATCAGCTTAAAGGTGTTATTAGTTGACCCCATCGTCTACTAAGGGCTAAGAAACATTTAGCAATAAGTTGTTGCCAAATAGACCTTGTTTTCTGAAGATTTAATTGCACTCATATCATCAGACCTAGGGATAGTTAAACAAATCACAAAAGCAAGCAATCCAACAATAGCATATAGTTAGTTAAACATGGATCCTTTTGTGAGCAGTAATAATTTCGTACAAGCCTAGAACAAGAACATGATATATTAAGGGGGAAAAACAGCATAATCAAACCAAAGATGGGAAAGCCATAGATGGAGAAAGTACGAACAGAGCGAGATGGAGAGAGCATACCAAATCAAGCAGATTGAACGGGATCGAGCATAGGAGATCGACATAGCTGCAAATCGAGATATAACGTCGAATGAATTTGGATTAAGGCTAAGGTATTTGTCGGAAAAGGAATTTGAAATACATGGTATATCCGGTGGAATTGTAAGTCGGTAAATTCATTGCATCACTTTCATTGTCTCAACCAAACATGGCATTTGGAATTTGATAAAAGAATTTAGTTATTCCAATTTCTTCCAATTCCAATGGTATTTGGAATTTGATAAAAGGATTTGGTCATTTCAATTCCTTCCGAAATCAAACAGCGGGTCGGGATTGACCGACTTTTGGGTTGAAAAAGAGCCCAATCGAGGTTTATTATGAAGAGGTTTTTCAAACTTAACCCGGCTTTTTTAGGTTGGGCTTAGACTCTGTTTTGCCCCCAAAATTTTGGCCTTATCGAGTTTTGAGGTCCGAACTTTTTCGAATTGGATCGGGCCTAAACTGAGCTACAAGCTTAAGCTTTTTTTACACATCTAGACATGAGTTGTTGAAAAATTGTAACATATATTATGTATGATTAATTCTACTTTTGGTCTTTGTGGTTTCATCGAAAATTTGAAAAATCATCTTTGTACTTCAATAAGTACAAAAATAGTCCTTTTAGGGTATCCTTTTAACTTTGGGTGTATATATGTAAATGCAATTAATTTGATACTTTAAATAAAATTTCAAATAATCCAATAATCAATCAACATAAAAAAAATGATCTAGTTCATAAGAGATGGTTTAAATAGCTAGTATCCAGTGTATCGCACATGTATCAATGTTTATTTTCAACTTGTTCCTTTTCTTGTAGGAGCAGTTAGTGCATTTCTTCTCTGATTATCTATTATCACCTGGAGCAATAGTTGTATATATGTTCTAAGTATTGAAAAATCTTTCTTGACTCATACATACCATGACCCCGACCCTCTTTGGGTTTCGTCCACATGGTACATAAATGTGACATGTGTGAAATTGTTTTCCACCTCTAGTGCTTTCATTATTGATCTCGGGAATTTTCTTTGTTCTGACATGTCTAGTGTTTTTTCTGAAAGAACCTCTTATCTTTTTGAACCACTTGCAGTAGGTCGATGAGTTTGTCTAAAAGTTATATTCCAACTTTTACTGGTTCATTAGTATGATTGCTGATAAATAAAAGATGGAAATGATGTTATAAATTATGTCATCTTATGTGAGTTCCTTGCCATGGAGATTGAAACGTATTTTGAGATACAACATGTCTTTGTGAAATTATTTACCTTTTTGTAATCGAGTAAGTAAGTTTCATTCCATTATACGATTAGTTCAGAAAGTACATGTCATGAATACTCACAACAATAAAATTTAAATATATATTAATCAGAATAAATAAATAACATTCACATTTCATAGCAATAATTTTAATTGATATTTGATAATGAACAATGATTAACAATTATAATTATTTTATGTTTAATCAAATATGCTAATCTATATATATATATATATATATATATATAAAAGAAAGAATCATGATGAGATGCTTTAATGAGAATCAAATATTTATTAATATAAAGTAATATTAATATAATATTCTATTTAATATATAAATAAACAACTAATAAATAGATAATTTAAAGGAATAAATAAATAACATTCACATATAAAAGAATCAAGTGAAGAATAATCAAGATTTTAAAATGGATGGATCTCATTTTCCATTAGCTTCTTTTTTTAATTTTTTTCCCGTGATTCACTCAAAAACAAATTATTTTTTAGATTAATAAGTGAATTAAAAAAATAATTAAGTTTTTTATGTGAAACGTTAGATATGCAACAATATTATTTTAACGGTTCGGGGTATTAAAATTAATTAGGGTATAAAATGTAAAAGAAACGAAAACATACGTGATTTAGTTGATAGGACTTTAGAGTTTGATAATATTCTTAGATCGTACGTGTTAATAGCGTGTTATAGGTCAAACGAAACAGGACAATAGTAGAATAGAGAGAAGGGATCTTGTAATTCTCATTAATCTTAAGTCCTTTATATAAGGATAACTTACAAGCGGATAACTATGAGATATTTCAATTTTAATGTAACTCTGATGTATCTATCTCTATATTTATCCTCATATCCTTTAAACGATGACACACTTATCATACAACAATATTTACATTTTTCTAAGGGCCTGTTTACCAACAATAGTTGGTAAACGCTGTCTAGAACAAGAGATCTGATAGAATAAGTGTCTCTATCTAGAATAAGTGTTGGAAAACGGTTGTATACCAAGTATTTTGGATTTGCTGCTGAGTGGCAAAAAATTACCATTATAACCCTATATATGATAAAGTGTTAAAAGCAATACAACTGTTTAGTAAATATTATCTATGAATAATTGTTGAATGACAAAAAAATACAAATTTCTTAATTGAAATATATTTAGACAAGAAAATAAATTAAACTTCAACTTAAAATTTTGTGTACAAATCTTAATTTGAAACATTGACAATAACTGATTAGCAATCTGATCATGTAAATTAGTCATATATTCATTTTTTTGAGAACTCCACTTTGTTTCATCGACTTCTATTCCATTGCTTCCTTCATGTTGTTCTATAGTAGGGGTAAACATGGTGTTCTCATCGTATTCCAAAATCAACTAATCTTGGATGTTGCATTTCCTTATAGAATTATGAATCGCGAAACAAACAATCACCATATTTTTCTGTATTGGAAAAGGATGCGGAGCCATTTGCTTCAGGATTGAAAATCTTGCTTTCTAGACACCGTATGCACGTTCGATAACATTTTTAAGTTGTACGTGAGCATGATTGAACATTTCTTCTTTACTTAATGCACGTCGACGTCGAAAATCTGCTAACCAATACCTCGTATTGTGATATGGAGTCATAAATCCCTGAGTGCAAGTATATGCGGCATCACAAAGATAATATTTATCTGCAATTATATCGACACCTTAAGAAATATAGAAAAATAATAACATTATATTGTTAAGAAAAATGATACTTACTTGATAAAGGAAACGAAAATCCCCAAGTTGGGTTAAATGCAACTTCTCTCGACACTCTTGACTGATGTGCAATGTCTTCCCATACAGCCCAAATAAACATGAATATCATATTAAAATTGCAAATTGCTAAATGTTTAATTAGCATTCCCCTCTTCCTCTTCCTCTTCCTTTTCCTCTTCCTCTTCCTCTTCCTCTACCTCTACCTCTATACCTTGCTTGTTGATCACGAGGCACAACTGCATGTATCAGGATTCTATCCAATGCACCTATAGCCCTGTGAATTTGACCCGCCTCTCATATCTCTCTTTATTCAAGCATAACCACATTTTCCTATAGTTAGTGCTTTGGCTGAATAGGTAAAGCGTTATGTCACACAATGTAGTTTGCTCCCACCTAAGTGTTTCCAACTTATCCATGCAAAGATCCATCTCATCGTCCCCCAGTTTGTTCAAGATCTCTTTATCATGTTTCATAATCTTTGCTAAATCATTATCATTTACCGAATGTTTTTTTCCTCTTTGTTTCCTCCTTTGAGGTTGGGGACGAAAAAGAATGTCTTCTTCCAAAGGAAGTGGTTCTTGTGTTAAATCATAGTAGTCTTGTGTATCATAACCTTCAACAAATTCATCAGTCACACTAGAAGGGTTTGGAACGGTAGCAGTTGGTCCCCAAGTTCCAACCCTGGTGGAAGCAACACCATCAAGCAGTTGAAGACAAAGTTCATGAAAGGGAAGAGGTGCAGTCTGCAACTTCTCAACAAATTTGTTTTGTTGTTTATAAAAAAACTTATAAGTATATATAAGAAGAATTTAAGAATACTCAAAATAGAAAAAGATGAAATGCACCTTCATTTCCATCTACCATTCCTCTTCTGACAGATTAAACATGTTTGTTGATACATCATAAACGTTACCCATTTTGTTTCTTAACTTTGCCCAAGCTCCATATTTTCCTTTGAGGTAATCATATTGGTTTTTCATTTGACGTTGTTCAACAATAAATTTATGATTCTTTTGTAGCGTTTCCGCTACATTCTTTCAAGAAACCGCCTTAAGGCTACCTCCTTCTTGTCCATTTACGGAGACCTCATGCAAACAAGATTCAATAAATGTTTTCTCCACGTTTTCTTTTATCCAATTAACTCTAGGTTTTTTTGATTGTGAAGAGTCACCAAAGTTTGCCATATCTAGAAAGATTAAGCAACAAATCATGAATTTTACACACTAGCAAGATATGATTATTGCCTCGTAAAAGTTTATTTAGGTAACTATAATCAATCTCTTAGTACATCAGGCCATAAGGGTACAACTTAAAAAGATCACATCCCAAATATACTAGCAATCTTTACTGGTAAAGATTCGGAACTTAATCCGATGAAAAATATCTACCATTCTTTTATAACTAATTTTAATATGTAATTTCTGTGGAAAATTCATAGAGAAAACTTAGATGAAAATTTCTAACAAAGTAAAATGACAAGGATATGTCTAGGAACAACCTCGTCTACAATTTGATGGGGAGAACTATTAATTTATTTTGTCAAATAATTAAATTGGTAAAAGAACAAGTGGCCATAAAAGAAGTGGTCATGTAAGTTCAAGAACCTTACACACGTCATAGATTTTATGTATTCATAAAACAAGTGGGAAATTGGCATATTGTTACCCTTTATACCTCCCCATGGTTCTGTTTAAGCCTTTTTTACCAAAGTTAAATGCCAACTAACTTGGGTAAACAAGTAGCGATATCATTTGAAAGATTCATGTGAACCATATCAGTTATCTACTTATATCTTCCAAATATAAACAAGGTGACCAATCTGTTGAAAAATCAAGCTTCACGTTTATTTTGAGTCAAGAAACTCATCTACATATAGACAATTTGAGAGAGTATTAGATGCTCAGTTAACATTAACCTATAGCTCAAGGCAAAATTTGTACTAAATAAGTACCGTTGGTCCACAGGAGATTAGGTATCATATACCAGAACGTATAGATGACATAATAAATACAAGAAAAACACAATTGTACTCACACACGTTCTGCAGGACAAGCTCCTTTAGAGAGGGTTGATAATAAACTAATAAGTTCCATAGTCCTAAAAAGGAATTCATTTTTTAAGTGATAAAACACACATCAAATTCACCTTCTAAGTTAGGGGGCATATCATGATTAAAGCCTACAACAATAGACCACAATTTTGATGTAAACATATACGGCAAACAAATAGCCTAACGTGGAAATAACTATTCTGCAAAAGCTAAATGGTCATACCTTCAAAATGCATACACCCTTTTCAGGAAAAAAATACAAACACAAAGCCATTATCAATCATGCAAGGGTCAACTTCATACAATATGATAAGCAGTCAACAACAATTAGAGGTTGTTATCTGCTAACTTATAGCTAAAACACACATTCAAGATACATAATAGACTACTAGTAATTGTTTATGCTAACCAATAAAAAACATCGCATTCACAGTGTTGGCCCATAGTTTATGTATGCTCATGGATAGACTACTCAAGAACTTTCCTACTTGGATAGAGAGTTCATGTGAGTAATCGTCCATAAACACCTACCACTAACAAGTTCAAAAGGGAATTTAGAAGTAAGATAACATAATATATTAAGAGAGCATAAAGTTTCGAAATCAATGGATACAAAATAAAAATAGGCCCTTGTATTCCATAAAAAGGTCATCTGAAGAAAAGAATCATAACAAAACGAGTTGAAAGAAGCCCTAGATAAATAAAAAATTGTATCAACAAATACAAAATACTCATCTATCGAATACCTAAATCAAAATCAATGAACCAGATAATTGAAATCGTTGTTTCATACCTGAAATTGCAAGTGCAGCAGCGAAAGACGATGAAAATCGTTTGGGTGGGAGGCGAGAACTATATAGATGAGGTTGATTATTGTATACAGAGAACGATGTTTAGGTTCTCGAATGGATGAGTTGATGTTGTGGAGAAGACGGTAGAAATAAGGAAGAAGGGGATAAAATCAGGAAAAAAAAATCAAGGGCGTGATACTCTAACTGGATAAGCGTGGGTGTTGTTGCTGACTATGGATGGGCTGATAATTAGAATGGTCAGAGATGCTTATTAATTAAGTGGATAAGTAAACAACCCTAGGGATGGGAATGGATCCCGTCCCGTCGGGCAACCCGATCCACCCACCCCGGTCGGGGATGGGGATTCCCCGAAAAACCGGGTCCCGGGGACGGGGATCCCCGCTTGGCTCAAGCAGGGGATGGATCCGGGGACGGGTATAGCACTCCCCGCCCCGCCCCGTACCCGTTTTATATATGTGTGTAATGTAATTTAAAATTAACTGTTTAATGTTTAACCATTTTGGGCTTTGGGCTTTGGCCTTTTATGTGAATTAGAGTCTAATCGACGACGACTCTCGTAGAATCGTACGAAGTTCCTCTCCCTCCGGCCTCCCTACCCTAATCGGCGACGGCGACTTCCTTTTTCCAGCTCTCCCTCTCCGGCTCCCTCAGTCCCTACTCCGGTACTCCCTTCGCCTCCCTCATTCGGATGTTTGACTTCGAGTCTTCGACAGTGAACAGTTCACTAAATCACTCGGCCAAAATCAATTCTTAATTCCTTATCAAAGGTTCATTGCTGACTTTCTGTTCATTGGAGTCTTCGAAACTCGAAAGGTATGTCTTCTTCACTTCTTGGTTCAGATTCATACAGCCTAACTTAGTAATTTATACATCCCCATAATCAGTCCTTATCAAAGGTTTTAGGCTTTTAGTAGTGAAATCATTCTTTATCAGATTCATACAGGCTAACATATAAGATGATTTCTTGAAGTATTCAAGATTGATTATCTGATTTCATGTATAAGCTATTAAGCTGTTGACAATAAGTTGTTGAAGATTATTGAGATTCTATCATTCTGATGTATCTTTCCCTTAACTTTATAGAGTAAGAAACTAAAGATTATTGAGATTATTCAGATTCTCATGTATCTTTGTTGAAGATTATTTATGCGGTTCACTTGGTTTAAGAGGTCTTAGTTTGAAATTTTTTAATTGTATAGCATGTCGAATTTCCCGCTTGCCGTTGTGAATTAATTTTAGATGCTTTTAGGTTTGTACTTTGTAAGTTTATTATATATTCTCATTAATGGTTTTTCCATTCACATTATCACATACAATCTTTTTAATTTTAGATGGAACCTTCGAAAAATGAGAACATACTTAGTGATGAGATGGAAGGAAACAAGGAACAAGAAACAACTGGTGATGATATTTACGAATCTGTAAGCATGCCTATAGGGACTAACACTAACACAAGCAACGAACAACCACAAAAAAGGTTAAAGTCGGTTGTTTGGAATTTTTGAGCAAGTGTATGTTGATGGTGTTAGACGATTTGCAAGGTGTAATTATTGCAATAAACAACTAACGGGTGGAGCTAACGACGGAACCACACGTTTGAAGGACCATTTAAGAATTGCCCAAGGAGAGTTGCAAAGGATATTTGTTGGTCCCAAAAGGGTCTACAAGATAAGAAACAGTTTGTA